GATATTATGGAAACAATTCCATTTAAAATAGCATCAAAAAGAATACAATACTTAAAAGTTAGCTAAAAAGGTGAAAGACTTTTACAATGAAAAGTACAAAACATTGCTGAAGAAATTAAAGATGACATAAATAAATGGAAACATATTCCATGCTCGTGGATTAGAAGATTTAATACTAAGATGTCAATACTACCCAAAGTGATCTACAGATTCAATACAATCCCTATCAAAATCCCAATGATGTTCTTTGCAGAAATAGAAAAACCCATTCTAAAATTCATATGGAATCTCAAGGAATCCCCAATAGCCAAAACAATCTTGAAAAAGAACAAACAAAACCAGAGGATTCACACTTCCTAATTTAAAAACTTACTGCAGGGGCGCCTGAGTGGCTCAGTCAGTTATGCATGTCTGCCTTCGGCTCAGGTCATGATCCCAGGGTCCTGGGATCAAGCCCCACATTGGGCTCCCGGCTCAGCGGGGAGCCTGCTTCTCCCTCTCCTCCCTGCTCGTGCTCTCTCTCACTATCTCTGTCTCTCTCTCTCTAATAAATAAACTCTTAAAAAAATTCTTAACCCACTCCCCCCAAAAAAACTTACTGCAAAGCTATGGTTATCAAAATAATATGGTACTGGCATAACGATAGACACATAAAGAAATGGAATAGAATAAAAAGCCCAGAAATAAACCCTCACATATATGGTCAAATGATTTTCGACAAGGATAACAAGACCATTCAATGAGGAAAGAACAGTCTTTTCAACAAAAGATGCTGGGGAAAGTAGATATCCTCATGCAAAAGAATGAAGTTGGACCCTTATCTAACACCATATAAAACATCATACCAAAGTTAGTCAAAGATCTTTGTCTTTCTCTTTCTGACTTATTGTACTTAGCATTAACCCCCTAGGTCTATCCACGTTGTTGCAAATGGCAAGATCCATGCTTTTTTATGGCTGAGTAATATTCTGTTGCATATATGTACCACATCTTCTTTATCCATTCATCTATTGATGGACACTTGGGCACTTCCATATCTTGGCTCTTGTAAATAATGCTACAATAAGCATTTGATTTCACTCATATGTGGAATTTCAGAAACAAAACAAATGAGCAAAGAAAAAAAGACAAATAAAAAACCAGACTCTTAAATACAGAGAAAAAACTGATGGTTGCTAAAGGGAAGGTGGGTGGGGTGGTGAGTGAAATGAAAGGGATTAAGAGTACACTTATTGTGAGTCACTGCATCTCTCAGTCTGACTTCATGCCAAGGAGTTAAAGTAATTTCATCACTTCTAACTCATGAACTTAATGAGGCACCTATGGTGTTACTCAACAGGAAACCATTTGCATCTTGGGATAGATAATTTGTTATGTGGAACCATCTTAAGCACTGCAGTGTGTCTTAGCATCCCTGACCCATGGAGTACTAAAAGCCAGGAACACAACCCACCCCCTTTACTGGCACACCAAAGATGCTTCCAAACATTTCTTCATGCCCCCTAGGAGGACAGCACTGCCCCAAGGTTAGAACTACTGAAGACGCTCTAATGTTAAGTATATCCTTCCCTACCCAAAAAACTCAAACCTATATCTTTCTTTATTTGGATGGTGTATCAGCCACTCCAAGTTATAAATCCCACTTTGACTAAAAGACCTCCCACCACTTACTAGCTGGGTGACCTTGAACAAGGTAGCGAAACTTGTGGAGTCTCAGTTTCATCTGTAAGATAAGGATGAAGCTTACTTAACTCAGAGCAGTAAGCTTTAGTGCAGAGGCGAATCTTCCTTCCTGAGCTTCCCCCCAGCTCCTCTCCCTTTCCTTATGGCTCAGAGAACATGGTGAGATCACTGCCTAATTCACCTGCCACAAAGTTAAGGAGCAAGGATGTGTAAAGAATTGTGGGGAGGGGCGCCTGGGTGGCTCAGCTGGTTAAGCGACTGCCTTCAGCTCAGGTCATGATCCCAGGGTCCTGGGATCAAGTCCCGCATCGGGCTCCCTGCTCTGCGGGGAGCCTGCTTCTCCCTCTCCCACTCCCCCTGCTTGTGTTCCCTCTCTCGCTGTGTCTCTCTCTGTCAAATAAATAAATAAAATCTTTAAAAAAAAAAAAAAGAATTGTGCGGAGAGGCTGAGTCCAGCTTTAGTGTAATTATCTTTGATGATACAAACAGCAAGGTAAGTGCTAGTCCTCTGGCGGAATACATAGCTGGCTTTCCAATTTTGTAATGGAGAATTTTCTTCACACTGGTGCTTAATGCCATTTGCTTTTACTAAGCACAAAATATGCGTCTTGGCTATTTTGGAACATCTTGTACATTAAGATTCCTTAAGAATTTGTAGAAGCTAGTTCCATTAAGCACAAAATTTTATTTAGAGCCAATAAAACAGACTCAATTTCAAAAGAAAAGGGGAGGGGTACACTTATCATGATGAGCACTAAGTAATGTATAGAATTGTTGAATCATTACATTGTACACATGAAGCTAATATAACCCTGTACATTAATTATACTCCAATTAAAAAATTTAAGCAAAGACCTAAATGTATGACCTAAAATAATAAACCCTTAGAAGAAAATATAGGGCAAAAGTTTCACAGCATTGGACTTGACAATGATTTCTTATAGGCCTTGATATGACACCAAGGCACAGGCAACAATTTAAAAATGATTAAAAAATGGGTTTGAAAGGACATTTTTCCAAAGAAGATACATAAATGGCCATAAGTCCATAAAAAGAGACTCAATATCACTAATGAGGAAGGAAATGCAAATCAAAACTACAATAAGATACCACCTCACACTCATTAGAAGAGCTACTATCAAAAAAAAACAAAACAGAAAATAACAAGTGTTGGCAAGGATGTGGAGAAATGGAAATCCTGGTGCACTCTTGGTGGGAATGTGAAAATGATACAGCTGTTGTGGGAAACAGTATGGTGGTTCCTCAAAAAATTAAAAATAGAACTACCATATGACCCAGCAATTCCCCTTTTGGGTATACACCCAAAAGAATTGAAAGCAGGGTCTCAAAGAGACATCTGTACATCCTGTTCAGAGCATTACTCATGATAGCCAAAATGTGGAAGCAACCCAACTGACCATCAATGCATGAATGGATAAGCAAAATGTGGTACATACATATGACAATACTATTCGGTCTTAAAAAGAAAGGAAATTCTGACACAGGCTACAACACAGGTGAACCTTACGGACATTAAGCTAAGTGAAATAAGCCAGTCAAAGAGACAAATACTGTATGATTCTACTTGTATGAGGTACTTTGAGTAGTCTAAATTGTAAAGACAGGGGCGCCTGGGTGGCTTAGTCAGTTAAGTGTCTGCCTTCATCTAAGGTCATGATCTCAGGGTCCTGGGATCGAGCCCCATGTCAGGCTCCCTGCTCAGCAGGGAGTCTGCTTCTACCTCTGCCTCTCCCTGTGCTCTTGCTTGCTCTCTCTCTCTGTCAAATGAATAAATAAAATCTTAAAAAAAAGAAAAAAAGTTGTAGGGCGCCTGGGTGGCTCAGTTGGTTAAGCGACTGCCTTCGGCTCAGGTCATGATCCTGGAGTCCCGGGATCGAGTCCCGCATCGGGCTCCCTGCTCAGCAGGGAGTCTGCTTCTCCCTCTGACCCTCCTCCCTCTCATGCTCTCTGTCTCTCATTCTCTCTGTCTCAAATAAATAAATAAAATCTTTAAAAAAAAAAAAAAGTTGTAAAGACAGAAAGTAGAATGGTGGTTGCCAGGGGCTGGGGTAAGGGTATGGGAAGTTATTGCTTAATGGGTACAGAGTTTTAGTTTTGCAAAATGAAAAGAATTCTGGGGATGGAGGGTGGTGATGTTCATACAACATTATGCATGTACTTAATACCACTGAACTGTCCACTTAAAAATAGGTAAGATGGTAAATTTTATGCATCCTTAGGCACAATAAAAAAATTGGGGGAGAGAAACACAACTGTCAAGAACATGAAAGACAATTATGGAATGAAAAGTCACCGAAATAAAAGGCACAGCATAGGAAATGCAGTCAATGACATTGTGATTGTGAGGTATGGGCAGATGGTACCTACACGTGTGGTGAGCATGGCATAATGCATAAACTTGTCAAATCACTAAGTTGTACACATGAAACTAATGTAACACTGTGTGTCAATTGTACTCAAATAAAAAAGAATTTTTTTGAGAGGTTGAAAGAGAGAGGCGGGGCAGAGGGGGAGAAAGAGAGAGAGGGACATGAAGAGAGAAAGAATTTCAAGTAGGCTCCTCGCCCAGCATCGAGCCCGTGGCTCAATCCCACAACACTGAGATCATGACCTGATGATCAAATCAAGAGTCAGACACTTAACTGACTGAGCCACGCTGGTGCCCCAGAAAAGAAATTTTCTTAAAGAACATGAAAGACAAGAAAAGATCAAGACATTCTTTCAAACTGAAGACTCTAAAAATGGGTCTTTTTTAAAAGATTTTATTTATTTGATAGAGATCGAGAGCACACAACCAGGGGGAGCGGCTGGCAGAGGGAGAGGGAGAAGCAGACTCCCCACTGAGCAGGGAGCCCGATGTGGGACTTGATCCCAGGATCCTGGGATCATGACCTGAGTCGAAGGCAGATGCGTAACTGACTGAGCCACCCAGGCACCCCTAAAAATGGGTCTTGACAATCACATGCAACATGACTTCCTAGACAGAGTCTTGGACCAGAGAAGAGAAAGAGCCACTGTGGGACAGCTGGTGAAATCTGAATGGGATCTGTGAATTGGAGGTTAGTGTTGCACAAATGCTGATTTCTAGGCTTGTATGGTTGTATGCTGGTTACATAGGAGAGTCCCTGTTTTGGAGACATGCATGTTAGAGTGTTTCGTGGTAATGAAACATCACATCTGCAGTTTGATCTCCAAACATTCTTACTAGAGAGAGAGTGGTCCGCGGAGCCAACACTGTAATATATTAACGGCTGGGGAATCAGGTGAAGGGCATGTTGGGAGTTCATTATACACACCTGGAGGCATCTTGAGGAAGGTATCAAGGTCATGCACTTCAGCCAGTTGCATGATCCGTTCTTCCTCTGCAAGGGCTCGTGCTCGGGCCTGAATGATATGTCTCTCCAACATTTCAACTTCATCCAGTCGCTGCTTATAGACCTTCCGAATCTGGCAGGTAGACCATCAAATGCACAGAAATAGGCTGAGATCGCAGAGCTTACTCACCCCCACCCCCAGCATCGGGCTTCCTGTGAAGCACAAAACAATCACAGAACTATGGAGACCAACTGGTCCAACCTAATAGATGTGAAAACTGAGACCCACAGAGGGAAACGTCTTAAAGGTTTCATAGTAAATTCGGGAAGAGAGCCGAGCCTGAAACTCTGCCTCCTGCCTTCACAGCTGTCACCCAAACTCTGAAAGAGCAAACACAAGTTAGCACACCACCTGTGGTAGACAGAGGCGTGCCACCCAGATGCCCACCTCACCTGAGACTCCCTTTAAGGGATTCCTCAGCAGTGTGGGCAGCCGTCAGACTCAGCAGAGAGGATCCAAGTCAGCTGCCTTCCTCCTTGTACAGACGAGGAAGCAGTTGTCTCCCAGAGACGAGGCATGCTTCCTCAAATCTGGCAATGAATGCCTAGGTTGCGATTGTGGTTTGTGATACAAAGACAGGCACCCCAAAAGGGGTGACTTTTAGCCTTACCATCTCCAGGGAACAACAACTATTCGGCTATCTGCCCCAGTCCTTTTATTTACATATGCAATTATTTCGTGTGTGTATGTACATAGAGAAATGAAGATGGATAGGCGCTACAGACATATGCCTTACGTGCCTATTTCTGTAAACGTGCGGAGAGAGTGCCCTTCCACTAGATGTCGAACACACTGGGGCAGGGACTTTGCGTTTTCCTAGCTGCATCCTCAGTGCCTGGCACCCGTCAGGTGCTGGCACTTGTCGAGCGGCTGAGTCCTGCGGGGGCCTGCCTTTCTAGGGGCGCGCCCTGGGACCCCCCGCACTGTCCGCGGACGTGACGCCACCGCGTCCCCGGAGAGCAAGGGCAGGGAGCGCGCGGGGCTCCGGGGCCGCCTTACCCGCTGCAGCTCGTCCACGAACTCCTCGTGGCGCGCATCCTCGCTGCCGCGGGCCTTGATCAAGTTCGCGCTCAGGTCCTCGCCGATCACCTCGTTAGTGTACAAGTTGCGGAAGAGGCCGGTGAGCAAGTGCGAGATGTCTTGGCTGCGCAGCGAGGTGGGGCGCAGACTCAGCAGCTGCGGCTCGGGGAGCGGCTGGAGCGCGAGGGGCCCCCCCACGCGGCGGGCCCGGCCCCCGAAGCCGTAGTGAAAGGCCTCGGAGTAGGTCAAAGAGGACAGCCAGGCGGACTCGCTGGGGCTGCGGATCCCGGCCAGATGCGAGGTTGGCGTCCACGTCGCGCCCCGGAACGCGTAGGACCCGGACTCTGCAGACAGCCCTTCTCTGCCTCTTCCCGTCTCCATGGCAACTGAGACGCCGCTAACCCTTGCCGCCCTTCCGCTTCCGGCCGCGTCCTTTCCGCTTTGCCTCCCTCTGCGGGGGCCGCTTATGCATCGACCTTCTTTTTTTTTTTTTTTTTTAAAGATTTTATTTATTTATTCATGAGAGACAGAGAGAGAGAGAGAGAGAGAGAGAAGCAGAGGGAGAAGCTGGCTCCCCGCAGAGCAGGGAGCCCGATGCGGGACTCGACCGAGGATCCTGGGAGCATGACCTGAGCCGAAGGCAGACGCTTAACCGTCTGAGCCACCGAGGCGCCCGGCATCGACCTTCTTAAAGTGAACTTAGTGTGAATGGCTATTCCTCCCCTCCCCCAGCCAGTCCACACTCAACCTCCAGCAATTCTTTAAAACTACCATTTAAGTGTTCCTACCAGTTTAAATTTTCAGGAGTTTCTGCTCCAGAGAGAAAGGGAGCGGGAGCAGGAACACAAGCGGGGGGAGTGGAAGAGGGAGAAGCGGGCTTCCCGCGAAGCAGGGACCTGGGATCGTGACCTGAGCCGAAGGCAGATGCTTGGCGACTGAGCCACCCAGGAGCCCCTGGAATTTATTTCTGGCTTTAGATGTTTGTTGAATTATTAGTTTGAGATTGGAATTTGCCATTCTTAACACAATATTCTAAGAATATCATGAGATATTAAAAAAAAAAAAAAGTGAACTTAGTGTGAGGCACCAATGGAGAATGGTTCATTGGCACAGCCAGGCCAGTCGGGTTGCAAAACCTGGCTCCTAACTACCTCTCTTCATCTGTCTATTCTCTAATTTGTTAAGCAATTATTCACTCATTTAATATTTATTGTATAAAGATTCTATTGCAGGTTTGTGCTGGGAGCTGAAGATAGCAAAGGAAGTAAGATGCCGCTTCTTCCCTCAGTCGTGTGTGTGTGTGTGTGTGTGTGTGTGTGTGTGAGAGAGAGAGAGAGAGAGAGAGAGAGAGAGAGCTAGACCAGGAAACCAGGGTGGTGAGCAGGGCGGGAACTGGAAAACAATGGTAGTTTGGTAGTTTAGTGGGTTAAGCCCAAGGTGGCAATAAATGTTGGTTGTCAGGGAACCACAAAGGACAGGAACTTAATCATTTTACAGAAAGAGCGTGAAAAGTGGCTTTTTGGACAAAGTGAAGACCAGGCAGAGATTTTTTTTTTAAATCTCTATCATTAGTTATCAGGGAAGTGGAAATTAAAACCACAGGGCGATACCACTACACACTTAGTAGAATGTCAAAAAGTTAACTAAATGTATAAATGTACCAAATGAGTGCTGGTGATGATATGCAGAAACTCCAATTGTCATGTTGCCATGGGAATACAAAGTGGTACTGCAGCTCTAGAAAACGGTGTGGCAGTTTCTTAGAATGTTACACCATACAGCAGACCTGCTTCTAGGTATTTTCCCAAGGGAAATGAAAAGTTAGGTGCACACAAAACCCTGTACCCAAATGTTTATGATGGCTTTATTCATCATCACCAAAACCTGGAAAAAACCCAAATGTCCTATCCACTGGCTAAAGGTTAAATTGTGGTACATCTATACCACAAATGCTCTCAGCGATAAAGAAGAAACAGGAATGTTGATACATACAATAGCAGAGATGAATATCAAATGCATTATGCTGGTAGAAGAAACCATTCTCAAAAGGCTATATACATAATGATTCCATTTTGGAGACATTCTGGAAAATGCAAGACAGTAAACAGATTGGGGGGCCCGGGCAGCTCAGTCCATTAAGCATCGGACTCTCGGTCTCAGCTCAGGTCTTGATCTCAGGGTCATGAGTTCAAGCCCCATGTTGGGCTCCATGCTGGGCGTGGAGCCAACTTAAACAAAAACAAAACAGAAAACAGATCAGTGGTTGCCAGGAGCTGGTCATGGAAGCTAGTGTTGGCTCCAAAGGAGCCTGAGGAGATTTCTGGGGGTGAGGGAACTGTTCTTTATTGTAGTGTTGATTACACAACTGTATGAATTTGTCAAACCTCGCAGTACCATAAAGGATGAATTTTGCTGCATACAAATTACACTCCAGTTTTTTAAACAGTGAAGGAAAAAAAAAAAAAGAATGAGTAGGAATAAGGCAGGAGAGGAGGAAAAAGGGCATTCTGGGCAGAGGCAACCCATTGTATAAAAGCGGGATGAAGAGAGTGCATATGGGAAGAAATGAAGGAAGTTCAGGAGTGGAACTTAAGAGTCTGAGCAGGAGGAATGAAGCTGGGAGGTGAGGGCCAGATCATAAGCAGGTTTGTAAGGCAACATTAGGGAATTTAAACTCTTCTGAGTGCAGTTAGAAGGGCCATCAAAGGTCTTCAGCTGGGCATGTCATGGTCAGCTCTGTGTTTTACTAAGATCACTTTGGTTGCAATGAAAGAACAGACTGGAGGGAGGCAAGAGGTATCAGGGTGGCAGATGAGAAAACTATGGATGGATTAGGAAACTGCATCCATGCAGAGGCTAGGAAAGAGATGGATTAGGAGCTTGGGTTGGGGAGGAATTGATTGGAGACCTGTAAAAGGGAGAAGTCACAAGACCTACTGATGGATAATGGAAGGGAGAAAGGAGCTCAGAATGACTCTCAGATATTCTGTGTAGGTAACCAGGGCAGGGATTATCTCCACTGAAATGGGAGAAAGGACTGGGCTTGTCCAGGCCAGCCACTTGACATCACGTGGACTGGCATCATCGGCATACTCTGGCTTCTGCTCACCGCTGATGCAACTAGCTGCTTTTTCCTCCTGCGGTGCGTCTGCTTGCCTTACAGCTGAAACCCACTTCCTGAGAGGGGCACCAGGAGGTTTGCCCACTGACCTGGGCCACTTGCGCCTCTCTTGGGTAGGCCTGGCTCCCTCTTCTGTCCTTTCCAGTACCTTTCCAGTCCTCAGAATGGACCCTGCTCTGGCTCTCCCCCAGCTGCACCCTCTCCACAGAGTGAGAAGACCAAAGCGACCTGCCCCGTGCCCACCCTTCAGGTACCTGGGACCCCAGAACTATTTGCCCAAACATCCTGAGCCCATTAATAGGTCCTGTGCAGTCTTCTGTTTTAAAGCCTTCCCCCCGTCGCTGACTGGTGTGTGCACTAGGGGACAGCTGTGGTGGGAGGTGGAGGCGGGCAGAACTCGGGCAAGTGGGCTGGTCTGTCCTGTTATCCGCACACATGCAAGACCCCCGGTGGCGCAAGAAGGAGCTGTGGGTGGAAAGAGAAGCGGAACAGTCTGGGGTCCTCCACTGCTCTAGTATTAGCGGTGGGCCAGCCCAAACTGGGTGGTCTTGTTGGTTAGGAGCAGCTCTTGTGGAGGCTTCCCTGTCTCGGGGAAAGACAGGACAGTGGATTCTTGCTGTCACTTTTGGCCTCTCCGAGCTGCCTCCAGACAGCCTCGAGGAGATCACAGGGAGTCTGTGCAGCCCCGGAGACGGTTCCCCTTTTTCTGTGACCCCTCCCACCCTCTGGCTTCAGCTCCTCTGCTCTGTCCAGGCTGAGGTCTCCAGCAGTGGTCCAGTGCTTCCAGTGGTAGTGGCCACTTCTCTGTCCTGGTCATCCTGGGCTTTTCAGTAGTACCTGCTGCTGCCTCTTCCTCTCTTGCCTTGCTTCTCCCTCTCCTTTGTGCTCCCCCCATCTCCCTCTGCCACCGGTCCCTCTCTGCCTGATCAGCTGGATCCATCCCTGGTTCTGCCTCCAGCAATCGATTTCTATTTGCCTGCTGACTAACTGACCAAAGGAATGGTTCAAACCCCGCACCAGAAACAAAGGGCTCGAGCCACCTTTGGAACCGCTCTCCAGCTTCCTCCTCCAGGCAGACCTCTTAGCACAAAAGGAATCCCTTGAGCTGCCTTCCTCATTTTATGACCTATTCTGCTGACCAGAACTTTTGTTTGTTTGTGTGTTTGTTTTTAAAACAGATGCAAGGCAACCCACTGTATGGAAATGAAGTTATTTAACTGGGTGCCCACTAATGAACTTCACCTTGTACAATGTTTTTGTATGTAACATACAGATAAGATCACAGAATTAGATAAGAAAATATCGTGGAATTAGAATTGCTTAGCCAAAGGGTATGTACTTAGTAATATTGAGATATTGCCAAGTTGCCCTCCAGAAAGATTATCCCAGAGTAGACTCCCACCTGCATTCTGTGAGCATGATGGACATATTTTGTTTTGTTTTTAAGATTTTTATTTGAGAGAGAGAGTGAATGAGAGAGAGAGAGAGCACAAGCAAGAGCCGGGGCAGGGGGGAGCAGAGGGAGAGGGAGAAGCAGACTCCCCGCTGAGCAGGGAGCCTGATGTGGGACTTGATCCCAGGGCTCCAGGATCATGAACTAAGCCAAAGGCAGCCGCTTAACTGACTGAGCCACCCAGGCACCCCATGATGGACGTTTTTAACGTATTTTCAGCTGTATCCCAAATTTTATTCCCAGCTCTCATCTCCTTCCAAAACTCCAGATTTGTACATCCGTCATATACTTGACATCTCACCTCAGCTATCTGACGGCACCTCAAACTTCTATGTCCAGAATAGAGAAGCTGCTCCTCCTCGGCCTTCCCCTATTTCAGTTACTGGTAATTCGTTAGCCCAGCCAAAAACTTGGAGCCTCAACTCCTCTGTTTCTCTCATGGCCCCCACCAGTAACTCCTGCTGGCTCTCCCATCAGAATATATCCAGAATCCTACCACTTCTCATGACCTCCACTCCTACCCCCAAGGTCTGAGCCACCATCTGCCTCACCTGAATTACTACTGCAAGAACCTTAGCGAGCTCCCTGCTTTGGCCCTTGCCCCTCCATGATACTCCTTCTTCCTGCAGCCAGAGTGATTCTTTTGGGGGTGGGGGGAGAGGGAGAGAGAGAATCTTAAGCAGACTCCACGTCCAGTGCAGAACCTGAAACAGGGCTCGATCTCATGACCCTGAGATCATGACCTGAGCTAAAATCGAAAGAGTCAGACACTTAACTGACTGTGCCCCCCAGGCACCCCAGAGTGATTCTTTTAAAATATGAGTTAGATCATGTCCCTCTTTGGCTTGAAACCTTCCAAGGGCTCCCCATTTCTCCCAGTGTGTAAGCGGAGGCCCTTAGAAGGCCCAGCAGAATGTGGTCCCCATTACCATTGTCGCCTCTCATTATCCCTCTCCCTCTGCTCCAGCCACAATGGATTCCTTGTCAGTCCTCCAACACACCAGCCAGATTCCTGCCACAGGGCCTTGGCACTGCCTGTCCCCTCTGCCTGGAATCTTCTTCACCGGATATCTCCGAATGGCCCACTCTCTTACCTCCTACAAGTCTTTGCTCAAATG